TCTGTCTCTGGTGAACTCTCTCACCCTCCGCATCTCTGGCCTATACCCCAGTTCTGTATGAATAAATAAATAAATCTTAAAAAAAAAATTAAAAAAAAAAGGAAAGAAAAGACAAAAATTTAAGTAAATCTTAAGTTATTAAAAATAATAAAATAAAATAATCATTTGATTTACTAGCTTATATCGATCTGTAGAGAAGCTTAATTACAAATGAATACAATGTTTATATAAAATTATGAAATACTGTATAAAATGCGTAGCAGCTTGGGAGAGGATAGCCAGAGAAATTTAATCAGCCACGTTCACGGTTAAAAGCTGTCACCTACCTCTTCTCTGGGCTCCAAACCCCTGGATCCGTGGGGAATTCGATGTTACGACTCCACGTGTATAGAGCAGGCAAAGTTGAACGAGTCGCGATCTGGAGGCTTCTGAGGCACCACGGCCTCCTCCCTCCTCTTTAGCGCCTGGACCATGCGGTGGCAGGCAGGTGGTGCAGAGGCATCCACATCAGACCACCGTTTCACCTTTCATAAAAGTTAACATTTTTACATTTCTGAATTTCTTTATTTCATTTAGAGTTCCCCAATTCTGCTGACTGTTTTATTTAACAGCTTAATAAAGCTTGTGATATTTTTTCCTTTGGGAGAAAAAGAAATTATGAAACACTTTTAAATATAAAATGTTTGTCAACCTAGGGTGATTTAAAGATCATAAAATAGAGCAACTCAATAGGAGAATGAAGAAACTAGATTTTGATTGTTATCTTTTTATCTTTATTATTGTTTTCTTTAAAGAAGATTAATAAACAATGGCGACCAAGATTTATCCTTGCTATATGAAAGCAGAATCAGTAAGGAACCCAATTTAATAATAAGGTATTATTACAAATTATGGAGACTGTAAACTAGTTCATTTAAAGTACAGATAGAATGCAGATCAATTTCAAGAAGAGATTGGGCAAATGGTTTGCAGTAATATGCTAAATGACCAGAAACATGGAGCCCTAAATCCATATTAGCTAGTAGAAGAATACAACTTCAACATATTTTTGTCGATGTCGGTTAATACATGCAGCCCCATGGTATGTGCTTTGGGAGATAGATACAGCAGTGTGAATAGAACTTAAAGGCCAGAGGGAGGGCTCAGATGTGGGCATGGGTAATTCTGGCAGTTATGAGAAGGGGTACAAACCTCATGCTCCAAGGAGTTAAAGACAGAGCAGTCGCTTCCAGTAAGTCTCCCTAGGTTCATTAGGGATGCCTTCAAGAAAGGAGTGGTACTGAAAATGTCTAGTACAGTAGGAGGTGTCTGGTTGGGCCAGGACATAACAAGATACTAGAAGGTAACTTTAGAAGAATTGGTTTAAACAAACTTAGCAAAGATCTTGACATCTAAAATAAATAATATGATCTTTGAAAATTTTAAAGATTTTAGGACTAACAGTGAAATTAGTAGAGCAGTTAACTTAGCTTCTGCATGCAGATAGGTTTGTATGAAAAATCTGGAGATGGATAGGTAACTCAGGTAAAATTTCTGTAACCTGGGAAAGTGATAAATGATTACAGGAATAAACAGCTGGAAATGAACAAGAAAGGACAGATAACCATTAATTCAAGGGTAGCTTGTGTTTTTAGCTTGTGACCAGTAATAGAAATAGAAACGACAAAAAAAGGGTATTATTGGGGGCAGGAAAAATTTTTAGATAAGACACATATCAAGGAATTAGTTTAAAATGTGGGTCTAGAAGCCAATGAAGAGAGTGCATAAATGTCAAGAAGGGCAAGTATTAAGAAAATGCTGGCCAGACAGACTGGTCCAACCTGGACCCTTGGACATTGCCTACAATCCCATATGTCAAAACTCTTCAGCCTGACACAGTTGCTTTCATGTGTGAACCAGATTATTCTTTTTTTTGAGGAGAGCCGTCCTGTGTACCATAGGGTGCTTTTGACTCTGCTCTCTAGATGTCAGTAGACTCCCCACAGTTGTGATATGCATAAATATCTCCAGACTTTGGGCAATGTACCTGCATGACAAGATTATCTTCGTTTGAGGGCCATTGTTTTATATGAATAAATATGTAGACTGAAAGTAGTCGTTTTTATACTGAATCCTAATTTTTAAACATTAGATATATGATAGTTTCAATATTAAAATTTAAAACACACTCACCAAAGTATAGACAGTGATCCAGGGAAAGATATTTGTAACAACAGAGCACTTGTGGTCCCTCTATCCACAGCTAACGCAATGTGTGTACTAATTGTGATAGCAGAAATAGGAATAGTTAATAGCATTGCTAGTAACATTAACAATACTGAATATTACCAAACTAATTTTAAATACATACTTTGTGCATACCCTGTAAGGAGTACTATATGTGTGATTTGTCTCACTAATATTCACAAAACCCTTATAAAAGAACGTTTTAGAGATAAGTAAATAGATTGCTTAGTTTAGACCTCAGGGCTAGCAAGCAGGGAAGCTGAGAGTTGAACTAGACATACATATCAAAACTTCTTCTCTTAAATCATTGTACAAAAGTTACAGAAACCAAATAGACCAAAACCAAGTAAAGGATGTAGATGCAGCTGAACCCCTAGGGAATTGGCCTAACTTTGAATTGTAAGACATTAAAAAAGGCCAGTGAAAACAGCACCTAAAGTAAACAGAGGAAAGGATGAGTCTCAAATAATAACTCATGAAAAAGTACTTGTAGATCATAAGCACAGAACTACCCTTATAAAATATATAACTGTCTGGGAAGTCTGATAACTTGACAGAACATTTTGTATGATATATATATCTATATATACACACACATGTATTGTTATGGGGATTATGTGTATCATGTGTATATGTATATATATATAATATATATATTTGTATCTTCATTTTTTAAGGTAACGTTGGTTTATAACACTGTGTATGATTCACATGTGTTGGCTCAGACCGCTTCTGATGCATGTTACCACCCCACACCCACCACCAAGTTACCACTGTCCTCTACCATGGCCTATTGGATGCCCCCTCATTTCTTTCTCCACATTCTCCTCTTCCCTCTCAATTCTAATCTCAATTCAGATTTTTTAGGGTTAATTTTTGGTTTATTTTGTCTTATCTTCTTTTGTTGTTGTTTCTTCTTATTCCATATATGATTGAAACCATCTGGTATTAGTTTTTCTCCTCTGGCTTATTATGCTTCGCATAATCCCCTCCAGTTCCATGCACTATTTTGGAAATGGCAAGAGTTCATCCTTTTTAGGATGTGTAGCATTCTGCTTTGGTATATATACCACCACATCTTCTTACGGTGTTCCTCTGTTCTAGGATACTTAGGTTGTTTCCATAACTTGCCTACTGTAAGTAGTGCTGAACATAGGGTTTCTCGTATCCTTATGAATTAGTGCAGAACACTACCTACATCTCATTCCTTTGTTCCTTTCCTAAGCCCCACAAGTAAATAATACTTCTATGTTCTTCTAACAGTTGAAGACTGAAACCCAAAACAGCAAGTGACTGTTCATTCACATATGATACAGTTTATCAAGGTGCAAAACCAGAGCTCCTGTCATCTACACCTAGTATCTTTTCTGCCAGGTTGTTCTTTTCTCAATATAAGGATATCGTTTTTTCTTTCCTTCATTAAAATCGATACATGACAGCTTCATTTTGAGAGATAACCGTAGTTCTACCACTTTAAAATGTGTTATATAATAAACTTAAAAACATATCGGTAATAAAATGTATTAAATCATTTTTCTCAAATACTAAATATATACATCACACTAATCTGAAATTCAGTTATTTCCTTGTGGAATAAATAGCCAAGTAATGACAACAATGGAAAGTTAAATTTAAATTAAGTTTTTTCCCCCAAATTATGTTGTATATGTAATGAATGTATTCCTCATTGTATCACTGTAGCAAAAATGTACTTTATTTCAGCAGTTGTGTCATGTATGTATTCTGTATCCTCTCAGTGTAGTAAGAATATATTCTCCTTTTCTAGCAATTAGAAGGTATTGCTCTTCTTTTGAGGCTTACTTTGAATGGAGTATATTGGACATGGGAGGCTGTCACCTGGGTAGTGAGCAGTGTTTTTTGATGGAGATGCATCATGAGATTATATCTGGAAACATTTCTTGGTATATTTACTAAGTTTAAAAGGACTTCAGTGGGGTAATTTGTTCATATGAATCAGTATAAAGGGTTGTTTTTCAGCTTTGTGTTGTCTGATGCTGATGTATTTTAAGAGATTTTTCCATTCATTCAAAAAACATTACGTCCATGCAGTACTCAATGCTGTGATCTCTCCAAAATGTAAAAGCACTTGACATTTCAGTCAGACATTTATCAACTTCAGTACTTTTCTAATGTAATTTCAGTAGTTCAGTAAGACTGAAGGGGAATCCTTAGATTTAAAGCAGTTATATAAATAAGATTTTTCTATGGAAAAATCATTCAAAAAGTACATCTGATACTTTAGTAGTGGTAAGGGGAACATGTTGCTGCATGTGGATAATGGAATGTTAAAGTGGTTGGAAAATTGCCTGTCACAAGATAAATCTTAGTTACTCATGGTCCTTAAGTATTTGAATTTTGTGCTTTCAAAGTAGAAATGCTTTTCTCTGTAAATGTCAGAAATGATTTCTTAGAAAATTAACTTGTAGGACTACAGTAACCTTAAAGGAAGAAAAAGAGAAAAATATTTTAAAGTGTTAAATATATGGGTATCCAGTATAATGTAGGGATCAGAGTCAGTATGTCAAATAGTGAATGGAGATACCATTGATAAGAAGTCTGTAAAAAACAATGCTCAGGGCCTCTCTGGTGGCTCAGGGGGTTAAGTCACAGCACTATGAAGCTATCCATAACCACTGCAGTGTGAGTTCAATCCCTGGCCAGGGAAGTGGCCCACATGGTGTAGCGGACCTCTGCTGTCGCAGCCACTGCTCCCCTCAGCAGTGTTTTTCAGTCAGTCTACCTGTTCTCTTCCTCACTCTGTCTCTGATGAATCCTGTCACCCCACTCCACCCCACCTCTGGCCTGTACCCCAGTTCTTGTATACATAAATAAATAAATCTTTAAAAAAAACCTGAATGAGGCCCTCCCTGGTGGCGCAGCGGGTTAAAGCACTGCACTGAGAAGCTTAAGCCACTTCTGCATGAGTTCGATTCCCGCCTGCCCCCGGAGGAGACCACATGGCGTGGCAGACCTCTCCTGACCCGCCCGCTGCTCGCCTCAGCAGTGTACTTCGTCGATCTGCCTGTTCTGCCTCCCACTCTGTCTCTGGTGAATCCTCTCACCCTCCGCATCTCTGGCCTGTACCCCAGTTCTATATGAATAAATAAATAAATCTTTTTAAAAAAAAAAAAAACCTGAATGTTCAAAGTTACAAATTCAGTGTTTTGGTTTTAATTTCTTGTGTTAGAAATCTAAAAGTAGGAAGGAAAGGCAATAATATAAAGAAATGCACATTGTTTTTGTACGTGTACACTGCTCCGTTTTGAAAAGGTAACTGAAATGAGGGCTCTCCAGTGTGTGCCCCTCTCGTTCAGCTTTCCTATCGCTGATTAGTACCAGGCAGCTGTTGTAATCCTTTGCTTACTTTCTCACTGATACACAGACTTGAGTTGATAATGAATTGGCCCTTTAGGGATCAGTATAATTCTCACCTTATTCCAATACCTTTTATTAATTGTCCCCAACGGAATCTTTTTCTCCTTTATATTCCCAAACCTTCCGTGGTACTTGAAACTAGAAGATAGCAGTCGAAATGATGATGACTAGGATTTCCTGCTAGAACTGGCAGCAACCTCTTCATCAACTCAGGGGTTTCTTCTGTTTTGTGATAGAACAGGAAGTTGAATAAAAAGAAACAAAAGCCTTAAGTTATTTACTCTCCTGCTTCAGTTGAAATACTCTGTTTCAGTTAACAAATGAATGGATTATATCATCTTACTCAATATTTTTTGCCTTTAACAGGATGGAAATTTTTCACTCAGTACTGTGTTTGAAAAACCTCAAAATATGATGGTAGTTGGACAGTCAGCATTTGCAGACTTTGGTAAGATTGCCTTTCTCCTCCTTCAAACTTCTTCAAATTCTCCTCCTTTCTCTGACCTAGCCATATTAATTTCACATATCATAAAATAACCTTAGAATCTTTGTAAGCATTATAGATATTTAAAAATGCCTATCTAGTATATTATACATGACATGTAGTCAGTTCCTTAATACAATAGAGAAATTTACAACATGTTCAAATTATAGTTTGAACTTACCGGACTTATGTTTGCAGAAGTAAAATACAAAATAAAGTCAAAACCTTGACAATTAAAAACCATTTTTTATTTATATATTAATGCCAAAGAAAAGTAACATTTTTTATAAGTTTGCCACATGAAGATATATGGATTTTTGTTTGCCATAGGTTGTACACATTAAATCAAGTTCATGTTGGCTAGAAACTTCCAAAATATAGATGACTCTTTTTCATCATTTATCAGTGTTATTTTTGAAAGGATGACTGCTTATTCTCATACAGATTTTCTTTATTCTTCCACAAAACACCTTGCCTGTTCCTTATGGCATCTCAGCAATTTTTATAGATTGAAGCATATTTTATATCTTGTAATATATATTCGCATCCCCAAATCTGATGCTGACTCTTAGGTATCAGATCATCACAAGGTATCACATCTTATTCTTAAAGGAAAGAAAGAATACCAGTATGTTGGTCAAGCATGGATTGTCAATCAGTTCTCCCAAATAATCTTATAAAAATAAAAGAACTAGTAAAAATGGAAAACTTTGCTATTCGTGAAAATTATTAACACATTGGAAATAAAACACCCCCTAAAAATGGTATCACTGATAACTGAGGTGAAATCTTAGTCAAGTATCCCCATTCCCTAGAATAGTAGATAATAATGCTGTTCATTAATGTGAAAGAGAAACAGAGGGAAACCCCATAGTCAGTTCTTTTATGAAGTCTTTGTGGTGCTTGGCAAAAATTTAGATTTTAATTCCAAATTAGCCTTGGTGCAACTGAAATGCTCACTTTTTAATAATACTGTGGTTATTCATCCTCTTATTCTATAATTAGCTGTATTTGATACTAATCTGATATGATAAAATTGTTTCTTGGTAGTATTTCATCTGGAGATAAAAGTAAATCAAATGAGCCACATATGGAAATTTAGATTTTTATATTCAGCCTTAATGCTAATGGGTAATAGAATGTTTACAAAGAGAGTTCTTTGACAAAGGAATTTTTTTTAGATCAAATGCCGAAAGTAGATAGAGGATGATGATAGTCATGCGTCATAGTGACATTTGGTCAGCAAGCAGGGACTGCAGATGCGTCACATATGTCCCAGTGGATTCCAGTATTCTTGTTGCCTAGTGACATCATTTATACCAGTAGGAGCTTCATAAATTGTGTTTACTACATCTTTCGATAGCATAACTTTTCCTTGTGATTGATTTAACCTTTTGTTGCTTTGTTCATCATAGCCCTTCCTCATACAAAACCCACTGCTAATGTTGTCAGTAAGAAGACATGATGATGGATTGACCTAGAAATTAAATTAAAAGAGATTAAGTATTGTAAAAGTAGAAAATCTGTAGTGGTTATTGCTCCTCAGGCAGGCATGTCCTATCCCACCATGGCTGTAATCTTAGATTTAGAACAGAATGACAGATGCTGTTGAAGGATCTGTCTCTTTGAAAGCAATGAGACTAACAAAAATTTGAGAAGGGCCTTTATCTTCTATGGGAAAACTCCTATTGGCCTGAATTAAAGAAGAAACAGAGCATATCCCTCTCAGCACAATGATAATCATAACCAAAGCAAAAAAAAATGTTGTTTGCCATTTGGAAATAAAAGACTAGACCCCTACTACACTGTTTAACATACTGCTAGCTCTGAGTGGTATAACCAACTCAAGAAAATCTTATTTGTAATGTAATGTGAAAGTGGGTTTGTGAGTGCTAATGTAGAGGCAACTGAAAATTTTTTGAAAATTCTGATTGTGGAGAAAATTACTTTCCAGAGCAAATTTTCAAAGTGGATGAAATCTCCCTATTCTAGAAATATGTCTGAAAACACTTTCATCCATAAGTAGCCAAGTTAATGCCAGATTTCCAGGCTTTTAAAGACAGGCTAACAGTCTTGTTTGGGGCTGAAGGCTACAAATTAAAACCCATTGTGACCTGGCATAGTGAGAAGCCCAAGACGTTCAAGTGCATCAGTAAGCACACACTGCCAGTGTACTACAGGACTAGTAAGAAGCCATGGACAACCCAGCTCTGCTAAGATGTTCTCCTGAGTTGCTGAGCCAGCAAAGTAGAGAAGTACTATTTGGAGAATAGTAACATACCTTTAAATATGTGTTTAGTGTCGGTAATGTTGGACACCCTTCTTGGTGATTTTCATGTCAGTATCAAAATGGTATTTCTCCCTACAAAAACCACCTCCTTGATCTGTGCAGTGGGTCAAGGAGTTATAGCCACTTTTAAGGCCACTGCTTGAGAAAGACCTTTGCCCAGACTGTTGCTGCAACTGGGAAGATACTAAGAAGACATGTAAATCCGTATATTACAATATCTATAACTGCATCAAGAACATTGCTTGGGCTCAGACTGCGATATGCCTGTCATCTGCAAGAAGATACTCAAGGAATTCATCCATGACTCCAGAGGATTTGTCAAGAACTAGGAGACTCAAAAATCAACGTGACTGTGGCTAAATAGCAAACAGTTTTAACCTGGGTGTGAATGCTGATGACAAGGAGAGTCCGAGAAGCTATTCCTGAGGAATTGACTCATGAGGAATTGTTGTAACTAGAAAAGAAACAGATAGCTGAAGAAGAGAAGAGGAAAGGAAATTCAAGGAAAGAGAAGAAATGAAAATCCAAAGAAATTTAAAGTGAAGGGTTTACCAAAAGGCTTTGTAGACATCAATTAACACCTTAAAAAGTTGAAAATATGGACCCCAACACCAAAATGCTTTTGTTGATAGAAATGTTCACGGTGTGTTATCTGCTTACAAGCAAATGTATGATGGGAAAGCAAATAACAAGTAATGTAGCATATACATATTTCTGAAAAGAGTGATACCGCAAGAGCCTCCTTCAGAACATATTCCAGAAGAAGGCATCGTAAATCACAGTATTACTCCTTCCTTCTGCTGCTTTTAGTTTCATTTGTTATTTTCCTAGTTCCTTAAAACATAAGGTTAGATATATTTGATCTCTTCTTGTTTCTTGTCCTTACTCCTTTCCTTTTAGTACTACTTTTGAATGTTCCAGAGTTTTCTTCTATTACAGCTTCATAGTCCCTTTTCTCTAGGTAGTTCTAGTTTCCTCATAATCCAGTAGTAATTCAGCCACATATTGTTCAGTCTTCACATGTCAGTGTTTTTTCCCGTACTTTTCTTTTTGTGGTTGATTTCTAGTTTGAAACTATTGTGATCAAAGATAATATTTGATATAATTTGATCTTGTTGAATATACTGACATCTATTTTGTGACCCAACATGTAATCTATATTTAAGAATTTTCATAGACATTGAAAATAAATGTGTGCTTAGCTTTTTTTTTTTTCTTCATTTTTTTCATGCAGTGCTCTATAAATACTTAGTATGGGCCCTCCCCGCCCCCCCCCCAGGTGGGTACAGGTTAACTTTCAGTGCTGTCACCACCATCGCCTGAGCTCTATCCCCAGCCAGGGGCCGACCTGCATAGGGCATAGTAGACCTCTCCTTTTGTCCACTGCTCACTATTCTGCTTCCCGCTCTATCTCTGGTGAATTCTCTCTCACAACCACCCCCCCCCGCCCCCACACACACACACAAAGAAAAAAATATTAATACAGCCATCTAGTCTAATGTCTTACTTAAACTCTATTGCTTCCTTATTGGTTTTCTGTCTGGTAATCAGTTCATCGATGTCAGAAGAATGTTGAAGTCCCTTATGACTATTGCTTTATGGCAATTATCTGTTTAGTTTATTCTTTTCTATATTTTGCTGCTACTTTGGTACATATATGTTGATGAGTAATATATACCCCTAGTTTATTTGTCCCTTACCATTATATAATGTCTGTTCCATTCTTTTGTTACAATTTTTTTTTTAAGATTTATTTATTTGTGCATACTAAAATGGGGTACAGGCCAGAGGCTCAGGAGCAGCGAGAGGCTTCACCAGAGACAGAGTGGGGAGCAGAACAGGCAGATCGACGAAGTACACTGCTGAGGGGAGCAGCGGGCAGGTCAGGAGAGGTCTGCCACGCCATGTGGTCACCTCCGGGGCAGGCAGGAATCGAACTCATGCGGAAGTGGTTTTAGCTTCTTAGTGCTGTGCTTTAACCCGCTGCACCACCAGGGAGGGCCCTTTTGTTACAATTTTTATCTGGGAGTTTTATTTTATCTATATCAGTATGGCTATGCCTGCCTTTTTAAGAGTGCCATTTGCTTGCAGGAGTTTTCCCACCATTGACTTTGCATTTGTTTTTATCTGTGAAGCTTAGGTGGATCTCTTGAAGACAAAGAACATTGAGTTTAGTTTTTGTTTCTCTTCCAACTGGCCCTTCTTATAATTCAGTTCCATTGACATTTCAGGGTGATCATTGACATATGGGGTTTTATCACTGCCATCTTAAGCTTTGAGGTACTACTGTTTGCTTATTTTTTTTTTTTTTTTTGTGGATCTCTACCTCTTTAATTTAGATAGGACTGTTCCTTTCAGCATTTATCGTAGGTGATATCTAGTATTTGCAAACTCATTCATACCCTTCACCATTTGTTTTTAAGCTAATGTTATTATTACAAAAGACTAACAATTTTAAGTTACAAAGGAAACCATTACATTAAATTAAGATTAATTTATTATTGAAAAAGAGAAAGAATACTCTAGATAAGTGCACAGTGCCCTTAAAAGTCCATGGTAGTGTGCTGTAATGTCCCAGGCCACTCTTTCCTCACCACTTCATCACTCCAATTAGCTTCAGTCTAGGGAAGGCCAGTGATTAAGTGCATTATGCATGTATACATTCTTTGTCATT